ACGCCCGCCTTGCGCAGATGCTGAGACAGCTCGCTGGCTACTACTACAAGGAGCCTGACTGCTTGTTCATGGTGAGAATCGCGCAAGGTCTGGTGCACATGGGGAAGGGCACTATCGGGCTCAACCCGTTCTTCGCTGACCGGAGTATCATGAGCCGCCCTGCTGTCGCCGGTCTTTTGGCTACCATCACTGCATTTACGGACGCGAAATCATGTACGCCGTGTGCTATTATTTCTTCACGCTGTCCACCATGCTGATATATCACCCACAGTCGTTCTCGACAAGTACCACTGGATGCTATACTTCCTTGTGACGGCCATGTACCCCCGCTTCCTCATCACCCTGGACGAGGATCTCAACAACATCCCTGTCACCGTTCGCGTCGGCCAGGCCGTGGATGTTGTTGGCCAGGCAGGTAAGCCACGCACCATCTCTGGCTTCCAGACGCATCAGACGCCAGTGCGATTGGGAACGACGGAGCGGTCAGAGCTGGCCACTGAGGAGTATATTCCTTTCGCGCACGTCCTTGAGGGCTTTGTCATTCTGCAGAAAAACCCAGGCTGGGAAAAAGAGGACAAGATGGAAGTGTAATTTCGCGTAGTTAGTTTAATCTTGATTCTCTGATATATCCATACTATCACAATGTAAGAGCTAGTTTCGAGGTAATTTGTCTCATCCCATACTGCTAAAGATTCCGACCGTCCTTCAAATACCGCTGCGCCACACTTATGATACTTTTCGAGATTTGTAGCAGATGCAAAAAGCACAGTATACACCGGATGCGTTGAACAGAGGTAACCGCTTACAAGATACACCATCGCTTCACTCTGGTATCAGCGAAAGATATGGCCTACACCACACGTCATAATTATTTATAAGGATACGAGAGACATAACGACAACGAATGCGTTGAGTGTGGTATTTCGGCGATCTCATACTCTTTCCCGATCGTAATACAACCACATTCCCAAAACTTCTTCTGTCTTAAGTACTGCAGCGAGAGTTGGGATCAAACTACTGTCCTGGCGAACAAATAATGGGTTGCCTACGGGAACCCTGAAAATGTCCCAACGTAAATACAAGTTGTCCCGAATTGCTGATGAGCGAGATGTTCAACGCTATGCGACGTCCTCTGCCTATGCCCCACAGACAATATTCACCGAGAGTCCGCCCAGCTTTCGTGTGCCGCAGTATACATAGAGAATAAAAGAGAGTTGAGCCGATGAAATCCTTGTACTTTGTACTGGCACCGCAGTCCGTAGTTCACAAGGAGTGAAACCAAAAATCTTTTGTCGAGGCTCAGCACATAGGAGACAAAACTCGATGGAATTTCCACAGCGGTTGGCATGGGCCTGTGCGACGGCAGAGCTTGAACGGCAGAGGGTCATCTGGGCTCTCTTCGCTTATTTGTGGGTGGAGTGGCGCAAAAGTAAAACCACCCGGCGACCTCGTTCGCGGTAATCGCGTTCAAACCCAGCTTTTAGCACACCATCCAGTATAGCATATGGCGCCCGTCGTATGACATTCAAATTTCACTTGCTTTCGACGAAGTTCACAGAGCTCGAGAGTTGAACGTTGAACTTCACGAATCCGGAGTTTGCCGTACGATATCCTTCAAGACGACGCCACACATATTTACCAGTTTGCTTGTTCATTCAATTTCATTCACTCATTCATTCATTATCATCCCAGAAAACCTACGCGGTGTGTGCGTTTCCAACCCCACCTCTGCCATCTTCCACCGGCCCCCGTCTAAATATGATATGTAACATGCGATGCGTGGGTGATGCAAAAAAGTATGCAACAACGGGAAAAAAGGAGCAGCGATGGATGCAGAAGGATTAGGAACGGATAGATCTCTATGTAATGTATGTCACAGACAACACGAAGTGACGAATGGGAGGACCACGAATCGTAAACGTCGACATTGAAAGAAAGCGAGGAGTACAGGAGCACAAGCCGGGGGACTTAATATGCCATACCCTCTCCATCCGAGTATGCCGTCGAGCTTCCATACGGCGAACTGAGCTCATTATAACGCGCAATCTTGAGGCGTTGCGAGGGTGGGATGGCTTTATCCTGGAGCCCGTGCGGATGTCCACCGTTCAGCACGCCGACGCGCTTCATGGCGAGGAGCTACGCGCGCAAAAGGAAAGGTCAGTGTTACTCTTCATGGTAGATTGAGAGACGTACATTGTGCGCAGCGTTCGAGTGGTCATATACGCCGCCAAAGAAGGCGGTGGTGGCGTCCTTGCCGATCATCTTGATGAGGAGGTGGGGTCCGCCGGGGTGCTCCTCAATGAAGTTGGTCATGTCGTGAATGAAGCCCGAGATGAGGACAAGTGGGCGTTTTTGACTCTGTTCTTGGACTGTGGGGCGGGGCATCAGACCGAAAGCGAGCGGTGAAAAGGACACGAGATACTCACAAGCATCCCAACTAATAACCGGCAAATCATTACTATCACTCGGCCACGCGAGCCCCTCCTGGGTCTCCCTCAACTTCTTAAGCTGCATGGTGAGCTGTCCCTTGCGGACCTCGTTGTCGGGGAAGACCTTGAGGTGGCTCGCGAGGCCGATGCTCTGCATGGTCCAGATGAACCACTTGGTCGGGTCATACTGGTACCACTTGATGGCGTTGCGGTAGTCCATGGGGAACTGGTGGTGGAAATTGTGGTAGCCTTCGCCGATGGTGACGAGGGCAGTGATGAGGTGGTCCCGCGGGGTGTGCTTGTCGTCGAAGGGCGCTTCGCCGAGCCAGTGCGCGAGGGAGTTGACGCAGAATGTCGACTGAGGGTGGGGTCAGCGAGCGTGCATAATATAAACAAGGGAGACGCACGTGGTGGACGAAACACAGCCTTAACACGCCCGCATAGATATAGCCGCCCTTTGCGTCGCCCCACAGGAGCCAGGGGACGAGGGTGGGGAAGACAAAGCCCATAAACAGAATGAGCTCGAGATAATGGCGGTGCTGCCACCTGATGACATCGTTCTTGCTGAGGTCGCTGACGTCTGCAACACCGGGCTTGCGGCGGGGCTTGATCATCATCCAGCCCATGTGTGAATAGGCGAAGCCCTTGTGTGCGTTGTAGGGATCGAGGTCGGTGTCGGTGTAACGGTGATGGGCGCGGTGTCCGCGAGACCACCACTTGATGGAGCCCTCGACTGCGCCTGCGCCGACAATAGCCAAAAAGTACTGGAGGGGCTTGGAGGCGTTGTAGGAGCGGTGGGCCCATAGACGATGGTAACCTGCGGTGATACCTGGGGGAGGTGAGAAACAAAGAGGAAATAAACAAGGATCAGAAAAAACTGACCCAGACCCGTGACGTAGTAGTAAAAGACTGCAAACCAAAAGGTCTTTGCCCTGAGGGGAGTGTAGTAGGCGCCCACGACACCAATGAGAGGGGTTATGGTGAGGATGGAGAAGCTGAGCCAGTTTATCTCTTTGTACCAGAGCTTCCAGCTGAAGGGAGGCAGGGGCTTTTGAGACTTGAGGGTGTGGGCGACATAGTTGTCGGGGATGTCGATGTCGCTGGGGACGGTGTCGTCGACGAGCTTGGGCTCGGCCTTGCGCGGGTAGACGGAGGACATGGGTGGTGGCACAGGAAATGCGGACGGCGTGACAGGGCAGCTATGCGTGGCTTTTATACCAATCCACATTTCTTTGGGGTTGAGTACCAGCCGGAGTCCCGCCCCACCCTGCCAGCCAAACCACAGAGCCCTGTCTGGGCCCGTTCGAGGCGTCGAGCAGACTCGCAGCAGGCCCACTGCGCCTCCAACTCACACTCCATCTCTCCATAGAGCTCAATCGTGGCCCGTCGCTGCCAGTGCCCTGGGGGCGCGTGTGTCACGTGCTACAGCAATCTTTGGGGCAAGGCTGAGCGTAACGCGTTCGGCCTAATTGTAATCCAATCATAATGCAAACAGTACTGCAGCAAAGTCCCTGGAAAAATATGTCTGTACAATCCCGAGGGAATATATCAGAAGAAGAGCTCTACTAGTCAAATTAGCCAAAAAAAGAACCACAAGGTGTGCCTCCGCATTCACAGCTGAGCCAGAGTACGAGGATGCGCTTAAGCTTCAATTGCAAGTCAGTCCTGATTCGAAGCAGGCGAGCCTTGACACAAAGAGGTAGTGGTACCGCACCGCCTCGAGTCCGCGTCTACGGATATGGGTTCGCAGTCCAAAGCCTTGACAGCAGTGGAAATCGCAGCTGCGTCCAGTGAATCAGACTCGGATTCGGAGGAAAAACTTGACGAGAGGTGGACGAGCTTGACGAAAGCGATGATGATAATGATGGCCAGCCGAGTCCAAGTCTATAAACCATGCCGAGTCGGCCAACTCGCCCGTCTACAAATCCAAATGTAAACCCGACCGCCTCCCCCTCCGCACCCGCTACACCTGCCGCGTCCCCAGTTCGCTCCCCCCATCCCACTAACCCCATGCGCATCCCCTCTCAGGCCGAATTGACATTTCTCCACCCCCCCAACGCACCGGCGACCCACACGTCCTCGCGCGCCTACTATCGAGCGTCTCTTCTCGTCTTACCCTCGAAAAAGCGACCCACAACATCGCGCGGCTCGCCGCAGCGGACGTCGTGCGGCGCCTCGGGCGTGTCAGGAAGAGGTTGACCGCGCCCAGCGCGTGCTCGGGGAGATTAGAGAGCAGCGCGTGAGGAGGGAGAGGGCGGTTGGGGAGGCAGAGAGTGTAGTGCGGGTGCTGGAGGGCGTCGGGAGGGATGTGAGAAGGAGGATTGCGGAGGGGGAGTTGGAGGGGGGGTGAGAGTGATTGAAGAAGGAACGGAATGAAGGGAGATCGGCATTCTGGGTGAGTTGAGTCAAGTTTTAGCAATGAAATGTAACTGGAGAACAATTTACTCTTGATATCCCGTAAATGTTGCAGATTTGACCACTTTCAACCAACGCCAATCGATCGTTTATAGTGTTTAGTCGACGTCAGACTGAGTCTGACGTCGACAGGGGGGTACCAACCCCAAGCAATCATCGGGTATGGTGTAACGGCTAACATTGCCGCCTCTCATGACGATTTCGCGGCAGCTCGGGGTTCGATTCCCCGTACCCGAAGGACTTTTTGCCTTGTGGGTTTCCAGCCTCCCACTTGACGCGCAATGTACTTTGACCTTCAGTCTACGGATCCGGAATGCGTTCTCCAAGTACAAGGTGTTAATAAGTATCCATAATCATTAAATATGCAAATACATAGTACATCAATCGCATGCAACAGTTCCTATTCGCGTCCCCATCTACGATAACGTTGTTCATATTACATTCCTCCATAGCATGTACGCAGCCCCACATCAATAAAGAGGAGGCGGTCAACCGTCCAGGAGTCCAAGACACAGTAGGGTAAGCTGTGCTTACGATCGTGCGTGAGGTTGGTTGCGTGGTGTATGAAAGAGGGGGAGTGGTAAGGGTGGATCAAACGGCGGAGGTGCAAGAAAGATAAGATAAGCCTTTGAAGTACCATGGAATAGATCAAAGGTCATGCACAAGCAAGAGCTGGACTTGAAGCTCAGTGCTCGGCTTCTGCTCCGGCGGCGTCGCGAAGCCTGCGCTCCATGCGGATGTCTTCCTTGAGCGATGGGAGGTCGTCTGCGAGGTCGACCATGGTGCTCTCAGGCCACCGATCGAGTGCCCAATGGCGCATGAAGGCACTGCACTTTAACACGACACGCGGTCAGCCACAAGACAAGGGGTAGTAGGGCGCACGGACCTTGAGATAGCGCTTGTGCGCGTACTTCTTATACAACGACTCGTGCTGGATGGGCTCCAGAATGTAGTTGAGCATGATGTTGGCCGTGGGGAGGAGCTCCGCTTCGGTGTACGTCATATAGTGCTCCATGTTCGGGGTCTATCAGGAACGCACAGGTCAGGATAACGTCGCGTCAGCAACAAGAGCGCGTTAAAGTGACGTACCCATACTTCACGGCCCAGCACCAACCTCCCTAGCCACATTGCTGCGGCGGCGAGGAGTGATGGAAGCGTGCCCACAAGCCGCCATTCCAGGCACCCGATCTCGATAAGGTACTTCCCGACTGTACGCGCCTTGGTGTCACAGTCGTCTGCCTTGCTACCGCGTCGGAGCCAGCCCAGGGGGCCGGGATAGCGGAGGTCCCAGTCTAGGGTCTTCAGGATGTACCGCTCAGCCTTGAGGATCTCCTCGACAGTGTATTGACCGTCTGCAAGGTATGCGATCTCGGCCACGGAGGGCGCGTACGTCTCCTCGTACTTGGCGGCAATGAAGAACGCGGTGATGCCGACAAGCTGGAGCTTAGAGAGGGAGATAGGCCGTGAGGAGAGAAAACGGTCAAGAATGTTGGTGAAGAGGAAGAGCGTCTCTTGCAGCAAGTTGAACCGTGCGTGTACTTGTAAAATCCAATCGACGAGGATGCCACGCTTCTCCCAGTCGAGCTCTGGATGGTTTTCCATGTAGTCCGGGTTAGGGCGGGTTTGTAGCTAGAGGAAGCCGCGCCGTAAGGTGAAAGCAAGTCACGGGCGTCGAGAATAATACGTACCTCGATCTCCTTCAGGTATACACACACGTCGGCGACGTACTCGCTGACCATGGCAGGGTCGTCCCAGTCATCTGCATCTAGGTCATCCCACAACTGCTTCTCTTCCTCGGGGGTAATCTCCTGGTCGAGGTCCACAAGCTCCGCCGCAATTCTATCCGCATCGGCTTGGGACTCATCCTCGACTTTTGCTTTTGCAGGGCCTGGTTCGTCATCCTCGGTGTGACGCCGTTTAGTGGCACGGTCAGATTCTGCTTCATCGATGGCCTTGAGCGAAGGTTTGCGAGTAAACACCGCGGCACGAGCTGGCGCTACGGCCGATGACGAGTCGTCCCGCTTTGCCTCGGTGGTCTGGCTGGTCACAGTGCTGAGGCTCGCGCTCCTGGTCCGGTGTGCAGCGGGGTTGGCCGCGGTGCGAAGTGACTCCCTAACAGACCTGACCACTCTAGACTTCGGTGGCATTTCCTCCTCCTCGACCACATCTTCCTTGCCCTTGCCCTTTCCACCATCCTTCGCCTTGCGATTATTATTCGAGACTCCGGTTACTTCAACAAGAACCTCGCGTTTCCTCTTACCAATCGGTTTCTCGGCAGCACTGTCTCCTGGCTTGGCCTTGGCGGCAAGAGGGGCTGTGGTCGCGCGGGTAGTGGGGGCATCGGTGGCAGCGAGTGCCTTTGCGCGCAATGCTCTGGACGGGCGCGCGTTAGCATTTTCATTATCCTTGGCCGAGATACGCGGGAGACGAGTCGTGCGACGCAGCTGCAAGCCCAAACCCCGTCAGTCAACGATGAAGAACAGTAAGAATGCCACGCACAGGAAGATTAGACATATCTGCTCAAATATCCTCTAGATCGCTGATCAGAGGAGAGCAATGTGGGGATATGGGAAAGAGGAGCAGTGGTAAAAATGAGACCAGGCTCAAGAGTTTGTGAAGAACAACAGGTGTGATCGGAAGTCGAATTAGCATGGCCAACACAACGAAGCACACGCAAACAACAGGGACGCGTAAGCTCACGTGGGAGCGCGACGCGCTGCCGTGACTCGCACATTCAATGTTTTCCTGGGTCCGAGGCTTTGTCGTTGTAGCTCGCCCTCCGCCAACTTCTGGAATACAGTTGTGCGGGCAGCGTCCGAGGTCCCGTAGCACTGCAGCTGGGCAACAGGCCATTCAAAGTGTTCTTTGCTCATCGCATAGATCTAAAAGGATTATTTCATAAAAGCGCGCCGTCAAGAAAGTTACTCTGGGTCAAAAATTCAACAAGAAACTACCTCCATGTTCAAATAGCTCTGACAATGGCTCAGGTACATGACTCATACATGGTGATGGTGCCGTACAGGCAGTGATAATGCTACAGGTGACTGGACCGTAGATCAGTGGCTCCGCCGACGATTCTACGAGTTTGTAGTCCGTTCTAAATCCTGATTAGTTTTGCCGTGCCGCTGAGTCGCAAACGCGGAAGTAGCCGTGATTGTGGCTGTCCACCGGCCTTCTGACGTCAAGCCTAACCATCATGACCCGCACCACCATCTCTCCATTTTCCTCTGGCTTTCGTCTCCAACCATAATGTCAGACTTCATACGCCGCCTCGTCTCTGGGGACAAAGCTCGCTTTACCGATTCTCAGCTCAAACTTGATCTTGACCTGGTCTATCTGACGGACCACATCATCATCATGGGCTACCCAGCGAACGGCATCGAGGGCTGGTACCGTAATCGTCGCGAAGACGCCAAAAAGTTCCTTGATCACAGACATGGGAAGGACTACTGGGTGTTTAATTTTTGTCCGCTGCGCGAGAACTCATACGACTCGGGGTTCTTTGACGGGAGGGTCAGCCGTTTCCCGTTTCCTGATCACCAGTACGTGGCCTGCCTCTGCCATTAATTCATTCACTTACACAATAATGGTGCAGCGCACCACCTCTAGCTATGATGCCTCTTGTCTCTCGTGAAATGCGTTCATGGCTCAACGGCTCGCCTGATCGCGTCGCCGTTCTACATTGTAAAGGTGCGTCGAATGTCCACTTGCACTTGCTTCTTGCTCAAGTCGGGTCGTAGCTGGTAAAGGAAGGTCAGGCAGCATGGCCTGCGCATACCTCCTCTCGCTGGATGCGAATCCCTCCCCACCCAAGCTCGAACGCAGCTATACGGCAAAACAGTGGGCCCGACTTCGCGCCGACGCAGCCATGAAAGCAGTACCATCAGACGAAGAAGACCAGGGCACTCTATCGGAAACACTTGCATTTACATCACGACCTTCATCCGTGGAAGCCTCTGCCGACTCCCTCAAGCTCAACTCCGTTCTCTCCCTCCATACTGCACGACGCATGAAGGTCAAGACGCGATCTTGCTCCCCCTCTGCTGCCAATACCCCTCCCCCGAAGCAGCAGAAACAACAGAAGCAAGGCGTCAGCATTCCAAGCCAGCGTCGCTTCTTGTATTACTACGCGCTCCTCCTTGCAAACGCCGGCCCCACGTCATCGCCTCCTCTTCCTTCTCTTTCAAAGTCCATAACCTCGCCTCATTCGATGGCGAAGATGAATGTACGCCTGACACGCATAACGCTTCGCATACACCCCACCTCCGTTGCCAAAACGGGGCTTGTGCATGCTGCAAGCGCTCTGCTTGGGAGAGGCCCAAGCAGTATACCGCACGTGTGGGCTTCCCTTGCGAGGTACGACGACCATCTTGTGGAAGTGCTGGAAAAGTTGGAGCTGCGCAATAGGGATGAAACAAACGGGAGGGAAGACAAGGATGATGAGACGGCTATTTTTGATGAGGACGGACGATGGGATAAGACAAAGATGGTGCGGAGGTTTGCGAGGATGGGCACTGTGGGAGTTGTCAAGGCCTCTGCCATGGGTGACGAGAAGGTACGCGCTTTCGTTCCGTTTGTCGTGTTCGTCGGAACGTCCAATTGCTTCCCCAGCACATCGACACATACACATTGCGACCGCTTTTAGAGGGAAAATGGGACACTGGCCGCGGAGAGATCGAACGCGACGCCGCTTCGATGGGAATCAATGCCGCCGAAGCTGGTGCTAGCCTTGAGTTCGTGGATCAGAAACCCTCTACCTTGGTACCACATCCAAATGCACGACCTGATGACAAGGAGGTTTTAAAAGGGGAGTATAGAGAGGCGGACCAAGAACAGGGCATACTCCTCGACGCTGCGCGGGAGGTTCGCATCAAGCTATTTATGGGACAAGTCCCAATGGGCTGGCTGTGGATAATCCCATCCTTCCACATGCCTCTTCATCCAAGTTATCCGCCTTCCCCCGCATCTTCCGTGTCCCCTGCAAGTTTAGACCCCCGCTGCACCTCCATTACGTCTCTGGAGATTCAAGACGCCGACCCCAGGTCTATAACTTGGGAAGCTGGCAACAAAAGCACACAGGCAATACTTCGCCTTACGCGCCAAGAGCTTGACTTCCCCATCGGGCTGGGGAGTGGGATTGTGGACGTCGAGGTGAGAATGGCGTGGGATGTAGGAGCCGGATGGGGCGATGGCGGCAGAAGAGCTTAGCGGATGGGAGTGCCGGGCCACCAGCGGGG